CCTCAGTTAAATACCCCTTCGTTTTACACGTTTCCCCTTCAAAACGAGTTTTTTACTATGATTATAACTGTTCGGTTACTTATAAGGAGATTTCTGCTGTACGGTCCTAAACATCTGCTACTTCCTTTTGTCCATCTGCTCACTAATGAAAATTCGTGTTTTTATATCACTGCAGTTGTTGATTATATAAAAACCTACAATATTATAATCAGCAACTTCTATGTACAACCCCTGCCCTTTCTTGCCCGATTCCTTAAAGGCCAACACCCTTAAACGAAACGCGTCCAAGCCCACGTTTAGTCAGTCATTCACGTTAGCACCAGCGCACAAATATACCAATGACCTACCAGGCCTCACGTAAACACTTTAGCCTCAGTTCAGCCCCCGCCCACGCCCTCTGCCCACTTACCGACGGCCCAGCAACAGTAACGTTAAGTGATGATACTTTTCTCTCACCAGCCATCATTATCCTCTTTGCCGACAGGGAGATCGCACCGCTGCTTCGGCATTAATAGAAGGGCCAATTCGTTGAGAACAAACAAATCGTGATGCCCTGTACCAGTGACCTGAAAACCACAAGTGATGTAAGTTCTCTCCTGCTAAGTCCTATCTGATTAACTACATGTTCAACCAGTCCATAGATAGTTTCCTCTTGTAATGAACCGATATGTTTCCGGGCATACTACCCCCTTCCACCCATGCTCCCTCGACCGCAATCTTAAAACATCGTCCTATGAAGGATAATTCAACCTCGTAAAAGGGCCAGAGGGTGTGTGAGTTCAGTAACGTGATCCTGGCACTGCAAACGCGGCACTTGTCCGGCCCGCTCTCTCTCCCCCTGCCATTCTGTGCTTCTCTCCCTCCCTTGTACTTCTGTGGGCGGCACCTAGTTCTCCGTCCCTGACCCTCTCCCTCGCGCGTGTAAGCTAAGACCTAGTAACAAAAATACTAATGGTTGGTCATCATGGCAAGGGAGAGGCGGACTTCAGATTCATGTCAGCCATTCGGTTGACGAGTTGCTCCCTCCCTATGATTTATCACTCGTGCAGCATTCCGAACCTGCCTTTCGTCACGGCCGCCGCTCGCTGATTTCATATTCCATCGATCCTCACCTCCCGGTCTTGTTTATCCCCATCAATCTCCATAATATCCGATATCAAAATACCTTTCTCCGCAAACGCACCGTCACGTCAGTCACGATCTGATAAGAGGAAGCTAGCCACATGTAGCACGTCCTCTAAGAACCCCTCCCCCCCCAAAAAAAAAGAAGAAAAAAAGAACATGAGAAACGGAGCTTAGGCCTCGGCTGGCGGGTCGGGCCTCCTTAACCTTTCTACTCCCAGCGAGCTACCCGCAGCGAGGCGTTGACCGGCGGAGGTAATGAATGACCGGCGAGTACCGGTAAGTACTGGGAAAGTGCTCACTTCAAATCCGAGTGCAGCTTCGTCGCCGACCAGGAATCAAGATTTTCTGTTCTCATTAAAGACAGGAGAAAGACAGACTTTGACCGAGGTTTGTGTCGGGATGAAGAAATGGAGAGGGGGAAAGGAGGGGAGGGAAGGGGAGACACAGGAACTCAAGTGAAAGGCGAGCAAGACGAGCGAGCCCAGAGGTGGCACAGTGGCCCGTCTGATACACTGACCAGCAGGTGGGGCACGGGGGTGTAAGGGGGGGGAGGGAGACGGGTAAGTGAATGCCACCCAAGGCACAAGAGCCTCACAAACCACAAACTGCGGATTTGCATTCGCCGCCGCGTCCGAGGCTCCTATCGGCATCGATAACTGACGCGGGTTCCGACGCCGCCCCGACAGGCCCTCGACAGCTTTGGCCGCGCGGGCGTGGACGCAGCAAGAGCATCACCAAGCAAAAAAAAATTTTACAACCCTTCAATCTAAAACAAAATTCTACTCTATCGCTGCCTAAATCTCTGTCGGTAAATCTCACTAGCTTCGGTGACAAGTTTTTCTTCCCTACAGCGAGGATTAGCGTGGGTGCGACGAGGACTTCCAACTGTATTCACGCCCACATTCCGAATGGGCGGTGGGCGGCCACGCACAACAGTCGCACCTTCACTGCCATCGCACCTGTTCATCGCCAGATCTCTAAGACTTCAAGATTTACTGACAAGATTTGTTCTGCCGTCATAACAATGCCACGCTGCAGATGAGGTCGATTCGAACCCTGCAACATGTTCAACAAAAGCAGAGCGTTGGCAACGGCAGCATGACAATACACTCATTTCCGGCGCCACCTCCACGGTCACTATTTCGTTATCATCATAATCTCCTCCAATCAGGTAATGCCGCCTTTCCGTCTATAAAAAGAGCTTTTCAATCCTGCATTTCTCTCCGTAAATACTCATTAATAATATATATTTTTTCTAATAAAGGCCTTCATAACCATACACAACAGTCATAGCCGATCTATTTCTCACAGCTCCTTCGCACTACACCACTTGAAAAGCAATTTTCCACGCCGTGACGTCAGCATAGACACCCACAAGAGCAAGTCCGTCAACAGCTGATGTCACGCCACAAGAAAGCCCGACTCGAGGGGCCGCGGCGGCGCCTTGTTCCACCACCACTCCCAAGGCTGTACTAGCGAGCGACGAGCGCAAGGCGAGGATCTCTCTCCATCAGCTGGGGCCTGAGTGTGGGTGGACCCAGACTCGCATTCAACTTTCTCTGCCCTCAGCCCACACTCACTACTCTTCGTGTGCCCGTCTCCCACATCGATGGGCTCGCTAGGGACCGCGGCGTGACATAATCTGATCTGACGGAGCACACATTAGCATCTCGGCTAATTGCGCTTCGTACGACGGGAATGCAGGGGCGGGAATTGGCGAAGTTTAGCACAGCCTTCGCTCGTTTCCTTTTCAATCGTTCAGATTCCCATTAGGTGACTAATTTTGCTTTTGGCGCATACAAATTTCAGGGTTCCCCGCTATGTTCCTCAATGATATATACCAGAGATACTCTACATGTGGTGACTAGCATATATTATTTACTAAATAATTATTAGCTGTTTAACTCTCAACATTCACAGCTGAGAGTTCATGAATACTGCGTTTCACTCTTTCCAACTCAGTCGATTTTTAAAACAAATTAACTTGTAGACAAGGGTGTTACGAATATAACTGCATCAAATGTGAAGAGTATCTCGGAGCCTATAACGCTTGACAATCGTCAAATCTGCCCATATGCCGAATGACGCGAAAGTAAGCAACCATCAACTTGGTCTCAGGAACCACCCATGGCCGAAGTTGCCACATGCCGCCGAAAGAACAATTTCTGCATGACCGTCCCGTATACGGATGAATATTTAAGAACAGGTGCATTCACTTGGATTGTGAAAGCATGTCGAGCACTTGCTCGGCGTGCTAAACTTTAAAAGGAAAGAGTATAGGATATTTGTGAGCCTAAATCGGGACAAACTGATTCTCGAGCATTCGGCATCCGAGGCGGACATATGCATCGTAAATACAAATCACGGAATTGTGAATTCATAAACAAAGGCTCTCGTTAAAAGTCTCGTTCAACCTCCTGCGGCAGCCACAGGGCGCACTCCCGCGGGCAGCGCCATGAGCGAGCCCGGACACGGCGCAGTTCCGCTTCCCGGTAACCAAGGTAACTTAATCTTACTTGCGAAACTCAAAAACTTTATTCCCACCTGAGCAGCAGCGTGCAAAGGTTAATCTTAAACTACATATATGGAAGAGAATAAAAAAAGAAGGAAAGAAACATAAGAGGAACTGTAATGTAACCCCGTCCTGCCGAAACGCCTGAAGCAAGCAATCATTACAGACAAGGTGTTGACCCCAAGAACCTTCACTTTTTTTTCTCTTTTAATTCCGTGTATCTTTTTTTTCTTCTGGATGCTGTAATTGTTCATCCTGCGGCACATTAGGATGCTGTTGAGATCTCCGGCCAACCGGCTGCGAGGCTGCATTACGGCGACGAGCAGAGGCGGCGGCGGGCGTGAAGGCTGCTCGACGATAAAGCATGACGTGCAGAATGGGGGTCGACGTGACGGCGCGGCGATCGACGATCTGTTCACCCGAAAGCGGCCGCCCGTCACTGCGCCCAACAGCCGGCGTTGCAATTCAAGCTCGCTCTTTCGGCGGGAACGGCGGCTCGGGTCTCCAGCGGCTTCATGAGGGCTTAAACATTAGCTATCACTTAATAAGCACATCGCACCTCGAAATCTCTCCTCTCCTCTCCTCTGCTCTCCTCTGCTCTGCTCTCCTCTGCTCTCCTCTGTTCTCCTCCTCCTCTCCTCCCCCTCCTCTCCTCCTCCTCTCCTCCTCCTCCCATCCTTTCCCCTCCCCTCCCCTCGCCCCCATAACCCACGTCACCCTCTTTTCTCCCCCTACATCCTTCCCTACACACGGGCAGAGTGGATGGCTCTACCAGATGTCCCTAAGGGAAACGCGGAAAGTGGGCGCCTCATGATGCCTTCAATTACATCTGGTCTACGCCCGCCTGCAGACACGACTGACTCTCCAACTTTACCTGTGGTTGTATTCTGCGCGTTACGCCTCGGGGCTGATCACTCACCTTTAAAAAAAAAAGAGAGGGAGAAAGGGATTAGTAACATAATTAAAATAATTAACATCATTCAAGATCAAGTAAATGAGCACGCTTCATTAACATATTATCACAATGGAGCTCCAAATTGGGTAATCAGCTAATTACACCTATCATGCGTCCAAACAACGCCCTAATAATAATAATAACCAAACAGAGCAAACACAGCCTCAAACACATCCAAAGCTTGGACGGAGCCTCTGACGCCGTGGTCCTTCCCTCCCGCCCGTCCAATGATACTCGATTCGTCTGCGTCTTCACCCATATACATGACAAAGACCCGGGTCCTTCCTCCTCCTCCTCCCCCCCCCCCTCCTCCTCATCCTTTTCGCGGAAGATACCACCCACCACGCTGGCCATACACTAACGCACCCACGCCCACACACCCAAAGCCACGTCCACAAGGCAGCAGCACCCACGCCCACACAACTAAATAAGTGTCCATAAGGGAGCAGCACACACGCCCACACACCCAAATCCACTTTCACGAGGGAGCAGTACACACGCCCACACATCCAAATCCACGCACACACGACAGCAGCACACACACGCCCACACACCCAAATCCACGCCCACACGACAGTAGCACACACACGCCCACACACCCAAATCCACGTTCACGAGGGAGCAGTACACACGCCCACACACCCAAATCCACTCCCACACGACAGCAGCACACACACGCCCACACACCCAAATCCACTCCCACACGAAAGCAGCACACACACACCCACACACCCAAATCCACGCCCCACACGACAGCAGCACGCCCGCGTAATGTCCACGTTGCAGCTCCGCCCACGGGTCCAGCAGCAGAGGATGGCCTTCGGGAGTGACGTTTTCTGTGTAGTTTCCGCACTGTGCCTCCCTCTCCCGCCCACTCGCGACGCTGAGGCACCTAAACAGTCACTTGCTTTTTTATCTGTCTCACTTTTTCCTTAATCTCTGTCTCTGCTAAAATGTACGTTTCCTCTTTCCTCTTCTTGAATTTGATATCTAAAGTATTCTCTTATTCTTCTCTCTTTCGCGTGTCGTACTTTCCTCTCTTCTTCTCACTTCTCATCTCCTCTCCTCATTTTTTTCTTTTCGTAGCGTTTTCGTATATTTTCCTTTCAACCGCCCCGCTTCTTTCTTTCTCCTCTGTCTCTCTTTCTCTCCCACTCTCACTCTCAGTCTCACCCCCACTCTCAGTCTCACCCCCATTCACTCTCACCCCCATTCACTCTCACCCCATTCACTCTCACCCCCATTCACTCTCACCCCCACTCTCACTCTCACCCCCCCTCTCACTCTCACCCCCACTCTCACTCTCACCCCCACTCTCACTCTCACCCCCACCCTCACTCTCACCCCCACCCTCACTCTCACCCCCACCCCCACTCTCACCCCCATTCACTCTCACTCCCCAATTTTCTCCAATAAATAATTGCAGTCCTTCGCTCCCCCCCCCCCCCGTATACACAAGAGTACTCTCACTACTCCGCCTATCCACTTTAACCCAAGCACTCTATGCGATTCTGATCCAGTTCCATCACCTAGTTCCATTTCGCTTTTCTTTCCTTTTCTCCGGTCTCATTTTCCTTTTATTCTGTTCCCCGTTTGCCCCTTTTCCCTCTATTCACAAATCGGCGTGAATAGTAGATGTTTGAGAGAGAAAGAAGGAAAACAAAATTATCTTCGCCTTTTTAAATTCAGTGGTTTTACAAGTGCGTGTACGTCACTGCCTTCGAGGGCTTTTGCTTAGAAATGCGGTAACGCCAAGTCTGTCTGGCGTCAAACGTCCTAACCATGCATAAATAAATAAATAAATAGATAAATAAAAGAAAACCAAACTAATATTATAACACCAATAAAAGATTATATTCATCATTAAAAAAAATAAACTATCACCCTTACTATTCCATAAAACTCTCGAGACTAAACACAAATACACAAGGAAATAAGAGATAACGTTATAAACAAAAGACAGAGAAAGAGAGAGAGAGAAAAAAAATGCCAGCCACGTTACGTCACCGACAGTTTAATGGGCCCGATAGGTCATCACACAACACCATACTTTCACACCATAAAAGTCAATAATGTTACCTGAACGGAAAGGTAGTTTAAGGATTAACACTTCCCTTGCAAGGAAAAAAACTTGTCTAAATAAACAACAATAACAAAAAAATATATATGCTTTCCGCTGTCAACATGTCCTTCGAAGTAACCTTTCCAAATATGGTTTGGGAAAAAGGGTCACGCAAAAATAAAATAAAAAAAATTCCCCCAATATGGCCGCCACCTGCACCTCGCTAGGGAAATCATAAATATAAGTCGCGTCTAATAAAATATCGGAATTTCGGGTAAAAAAAAAACAGGTCTTTCCTCAGTACTGGCCTCTGAGAGTACCCTCGGAGACAGACTGACGAGGACCACGACGACCACGACGACCTGGGAACATCAGTTGCCTGGCAGAGGTAGGTCTGGGCGGGATGGCGTGCTTGATCACTCACTCACTCACTAAATGAGAAGGAAGCAGCAAGGGAGGTGAAAAAAGATAAAGAAAGATAGAAAGATAGATAGATAGATAGATAGATAGATAGAGAGAGAGAGAGAATATGAGAGGGAAAGGGAAAGACAGTGAGAGACATAGAAAGAATGACAGTGAGAGACATACAAACAAGACAAAAACAACAGAACTTAAGCAAGAAAATGAAAAAGAAAAAAACGAAACAAACACATGCAGACAGACAACCAGGCACAGAGAGGAAAAACAGACAGATAATCCCGTCTCCCTCCCCTCTCCCCCTCCCCCTACCCCCTCTTTAGTTAAATTCGCCAGGCACGTACGGTCCCTCTCGGTCCACGCCGCGTTCGCTCTGTTGCCATTCATAAGCGAAATCAATAGCAGCCGAATGATCAGTGCCCGATGGGATTCGGGAGGGATGGGGGGGGGGGGGGAGGCGAGGGAGGGGAGGGGAGAGGCGAGGGAGGGGAGAGGGGAAGGAGAGGAAGGCAGGAGAGGG